GGGGAACTTGGTGGCCCTAACAGGTGGGCCTGTCTCCCGGTGAACTTGGTGGCTGTGGTCTGTGGGCGTCATGGTTTCTTCCTGAAGAGCTGAGATGAGCTTCCCGTTGCTAGGTATGAAGTTGGATGGCAGTCACCAGAGCCCATTTTCCTGTCTGCAAGGCAAGGACACAAAGGTCCTGCCTGCCTGGCAGGCAGGTAGCCTTTGCAGACCTGAAGCCCCTCACTTGGCATGTAGCTGGCATTTAAAGTTGTAATGCTGAGTATGGCCTCCTGGAGAGAGAAAACAGTTATGGACAGACCTTGAACCCAAGCCCCAAGCACAAGAAGAGGAGGGACTCTGGGAACAGCTGGCCCACCTGCCATACCCTGACTGACTCTTCTGCCTTGTCCCCATGTGACCCTCAGGGGACGGAGCCACATCCCATCTTGAAACAGGAGGGTTCATCCGCAGCCGGCCTGGGGTCCCCCACCCGGACATTCAGTTCCACTTCCTGCCCTCCCAAGTGATTGACCACGGGCGGAAACCCACCCAGCAGGATGCTTACCAGGTACGCAGACAGCCGTGGCCAGACGCCCTGCCTTCCTGCTCCTGCGTCCCACCGTGCAGACCTTCATCTGGTACTCTGCTCCCCAGTGGCTACTGTCTGCCTGGAAGAGGCAGGGGGGCCTAAACCTTACCCCAGGGAGAGAGCCCAGGAGTCAGTCTGCAGGATGTATAGAGGGCAGGATCCACACCAGTGAGGACAGGCAAAACTACCTCAGCCCCAGGATCATCCCCTGAAAATTCCAGACAGGGGATGGGGTGGTTGGAAGAGGGTCAGGTCCTCACCTTGCATGCTCCACACTGAGTGCTGAGTCCTCACCCACAGGGAACCCCGGCCTTCTCTAAGCTTCTGAGTGGGAGTTACTGGAGATGACTGTGAACTATTTCCTCTGGACCTTCCCTAGGTACATGTGGGAACCATGAGGGCCACAAGTGTGGGCTGGCTCAAACTGAGAAGTGCCAACCCTCGGGACCACCCTGTGATTCACCCCAACTACTTGTCAACAGGTAACTCGGAAGCTACCTTGGGGTCCCCTGGGCCTGGCCCGTCCCCAATCCTTACTGCAGATCCCCTTTCCTAACACCGGGGTTACTCTCGGTTCTGGGTCACACGAGGTAGCCCGGGGCCTCACTGTGCACAGCCGGACAGGGGTGGAGTTTTCAGACCCATCTGTATAGGCACAGAGGCCAGGCCCGTGCACACTGCCTGCCCGGCCTTTTAGCACTGAGAAGCATGCATGCTGCATTCCCAGGCCCGCCTCTCCGCATACAGCAGCACAGATACCACTCACGGGGAAGGTTTTACCCTCATAGCATGGGGGCTTGACAGCCACATGGTCCCGAGTAGATTGCACATCTTTACCCCTGGTTGGCAGAGAAAGCAGACCTCAGACACAAACGTGGACCTCCTGGCTCTGTAACTGCTTCTAGGCAGGTGACAAGCACTTTGTGGCTTGATTCTCCACGTCCCTGTCTTTGCCCCTTAGTTCCACTTGACCAGCAGGATAAAAGAAGAAGGAGAACTCATTGATCTCTCCTCCACAGAAACCGACATCCAGGACTTCCGTCAGTGTGTGAGGCTGAGCAGAGAAATTCTTGGGCAAGAAGCCTTGGCTCCCTTCCGGGGCAAAGAGCTGCAGCCTGGATGCCATGTCCAGTCAGACCAAGAGATAGATGCCTTTGTGCGGGCAAAAGCAGACAGTGCTTACCACCCATCCTGCACCTGTAAGATGGGCCAGCCCTCTGACCCCACTGCCGTGGTCGACCTGCAAACCAGGGTCCTTGGGGTAGAAAACCTCAGAGTCATCGATGCCTCCATCATGCCCAGCGTGGTCAGTGGCAACCTGAATGCTCCCACAATAATGATTGCAGAGAAAGCAGCTGACATGATTAAGGGGAATCCTGCACTCTGGGACAAGGATGTTCCTGTCTACAAGCCGCAGACTCTGGCCACCCAGCGTTAAGGCAGCCACTGCCTGAGGATCATAGAGGAACTCATGTCAAGAGATCCAACTCATACGGCCCTGCCCCCAGATAGTTCCTGAAACTGTGTAGAACCTTGGGACCCAGATATCCCTACTCATGGCTAAGACCTTCATGGTATCTGAAGAAATAAGGCCATGGTAGTAAGTGAGGCAAGGAGGAAGGCTAACCTGCACAATGGGATCCTCCTCCCGACCTCCCGGGGTTAAAAGTTCAGGAGGTTAACTCTTGCATGATTTTCTCACCAGCCCTCCAGCCATCTCCAGTCCAGTGTTCTGCTGCCAGGAGTGGAATGATCCCTTCCCTGGCCTCCCACCTCAGGCCACTTCTGCACAGGCAGGGTGCTTGAACTGGACTGGGTTCTCCAAGGACGCTTTAGCTGAGGCCAAGAGCCAGGGCTGGTACCTGAGCTCATGTCCACGATGAGAGGAAAGGCAGCCAGCCAGAGGGTGCTGGCCGTCCCTTCTCCTGCCTTGATCAACTCTGAAGAGTGGGGTGCAGGGGTGGGGGCTCAAGGAACCGCACAACTCACCTGCCTTGTCCTGACTGTCCTGACAAGAAAACGAAGACCAGTTTTTCTAAGATGTCCAAAGCCACCATCTACATTAGGGAAGAAAAGAATCACTGTATAGAAACCTGCATGGCGAGGCCTAGAAAAGAGGGGGATATCAGAATCCCAGGCTCCACGAGGGTTGACTGGGAGTGGCTGGAGCCGCCGTCTGGACATCTGAGAAAGGCCTTTCAGAAAGGTTGAAGTAAACCACTGCATTTCTTTCAAAAACCAGGTTGATTTTGTTTCGTCTTACCTGTGCCTTGCCTTCTTTTTTTTGCCCACCGTGTTCCAAAAGAAAGTCAAGAAAGAAAACCCTAGGTCTGAGCTTCTCACAGAGCAGATGCCACGCGGCAGTCGTCCGTGGCGCCCTCAGCAGTGAAGGTGCCACCCTGGGAGGGCCGTGTTCTGCTCTCATGCAGCCGTGATAAAGAAGCCTGGACTCCGTCGAGCTCCTCAGTTATAGCCAGGCCTTTCTCTCACCGTGGCATACCAAGGCAGGCTCCACGTGTTGGTATGACTTAGCCACACGAGGAAACGTGTCTCTGGAGACGAAAAGTGAAGGTTACACGCCCAGAACTCAAAGATGGCAAGTGGGAAATTGCTGTTGGGGTTCAAACTCAGGACAGAACATGGGATTCAGAGGCTTCCTCGCTGGAGTCCTGATGGCCTAACATGGCAGCTCCTGTTTCCAGCCCGAGTAGAACAGTCCTGCCTGCAATGCTGAATCCAAATGCCAGGGCTGTCTGGGAGTCCCAGCGCCACGAGGGAGCCAGAGCGGTGGAATGACGCAAGCCTGCTTGGGTTACAAAGTGGGGCCCCCACAGGCCATCAGACTGAGTCTCATGGGGACCTGGACAGACTTTGTTTTGGCTAAGCACGCTCCTTGGCAAGGAGCCTGTCATGCCTAAAACACGGAAGGCAACAGGTTGCCAAAACTGGTGCACACGAACCTTGCAAGCGCACGGCCCAGGGTTGACCCTTAGAATCAGGAAGCAGCCGCTGCACTTGTGAGCTGTGTTGAGAGAACTTGCATGTATCTTGCTGTTGGCCAAATGTGTTCCTGACAGATCCCAGGGGAGACAGGAACAACTCACCAGCATGACCGGAAACGGTCACAGAAGCAGGAGGTGGAAGCACCGTGACATTCAAGCCTTCTGCCTCCGGTGCCCGCTGCAGGGTTACTTTCCATAAATGCAAAATGGGCTCTTCCCACCTGCCACGCCGTGTCCCTCAGGCCCCAGGACTTTCCATATTTCCACTGATAAACTACCACGATATCAAATCTAATGCAAAGATTTTTTTTTTTAATCTTCAGGATTGGGGGGGGAAGAACATGACCTACCCCTAGGCCCTAGTTGGTAGCCTGAGTGGCCCCTGCTGGCTCAGCTGCACATTCTTCCAACCACCCCTCGTTCCCACATCAGAGGCCAGCGTCTGAGACTCTCCCTCAGGCCCCACTGCCCTCCCGGTTCCCAGGAAGCAGAGCTGGAGTGTGTGTGTGTGTGAGTGTGCGTGTGCACAATGTGCGTGTGCGCGTGCGTGTGCCCCTGCCCGTGATGTGGCACTCTGTTTTTTACAAGTAAACCAACACTCCACCCCTGAAACAAAGGTACAGGTGATACTGGTCTTGCTGAAGGACTGGCCTACTGGGCAGTGGGCAGTGCAGCCTAGCCACAGTCTCAAGGAGCTAGGGCTGTACCCTCAAAGCACACCCCTCTAGAGCTACAGAGTGGGGTCCACATTCCTAACAGACCTTCCAAATGAGGTGCTTGCTGTTGGCTGGTGGATCAATAGCGATTTCCACACTTCCTAACGTCGTTTTTAAAAAAAAAAAAAAAAGCTTCAACTAAATGCAGCGATCCAAAGAACTCAAAATCATTTCGGGGGTGGGGTATTTAGCCTTAAAACTTCTTTAAAGAGAGGGGAAGAAAATCATGCTCTACAACTTCAAATGTTTCTTACAAAGAGAAATTTAATATTCGATGAGAGGTTGAACCAGACTTAAAGCAGACATCCTGGGAAGTGGGGCAGCCTGAAAAGCCAGGCAACATTGACGGGCAGACTTGGGGAAAGATAATCACCCGCTTCAGAACACGCAGTCCTGGCGTGGGGAGCATGAGCTGCTGATGTTAAGTCGCACAGTCAGACAGACACTCAGCAAGACAGAGTCCAAGGTGGATGCTGATGGTGGATTAGCCCTTGAGGAGAAGCAGCCCTGTCTGCAGCTGGTGCAAAGTTACTATTGGCCTTGGAGGAGGAGCCCGAGGGCAGAAAAAGCTGCCTGAGCCCAGGGCTGCGTGGGAGCACCTGCCCCTCTGAAGCTCTCTCGGCAGAGCCAGCTCTGTGAGGAGAGCTCCCGGTACAATGAAAGTATTACACAGTTTATTCTGAAGAACATTTTGCATTTTAATAAAAAAAAAGGCTTTATGTCAGGAAATAGTCATTTACAAACCTTGAAGTGTTTTTGCCTGCATCTGGAGTAAGAATGTCCTAGGAAGAGGTTTGTGAGGTCTTTGTAACAAAAGTGTTATTTACAAAAAGAAAAAAAAAGTTTTTTTCCACAGGTTGTCTGTGTACTAGTTAAAAATTTTGAACCCAAACTGCTACCTGTATTTTTGATTGCAGATAATCCTTAGCGAAATGATGGGGTGGTGTCACGTGACTGTTGACAGGCTGGGAACCTTGACAGTTGAGTGTGTTCTCATGGCCATCTCAGCCCTCGTCCAGTTGCGTATGGCGGCTCTTAAAGAACGCGCTGCACCGCAGCTGCGCACGGCCACAGGAGACCCCGTACAGACCCCACACTCCCAGGTCACACAGCGCTCCTCTCTTCCGCCATGCCAGTACCTCCTCTTAAGAGAAGCATCCCTGGGGATGTGAGCAGATGCCTGTGGTTCTCCCGTCGGGTCACTTCCGCATCAGAGACCGGAAGCATCCTGCATGGGCAGCTGAGGAAGCCAGACCAGTGGATGCCCCTGCTTTGTAACTAACTGATTATAAAGGGGATTATTAAAGTGAAACCAAACCAAAGACAGTTGCAACCCATGTAGGTAAGAGGTACAATATAAAATCATAGGACCCAAAGAAAAGACTGCAAATAGTCATCTTGATATCTTATGTAAAGATAGGTTTATAGTGACTCAAAATATTTTAGAAAAATTTCTGAAGTGGTCAAGATTTCTCGGAACTCAAAAGTTTATCCCCAAAAGATTCTTTTACTGAATACGTGAGAATTGGCTCTAATTCTCCTAGTTCTGTTTAGCCCAAGTAAAAATACTAATAATTTCTAGGTTTTGGTGGGAAACTACAATTGTTTAGGACCGACCCATGGATATTGCTGCAGTTCAAATACGGTACGATAATTACAAAATATAGACCATCTCTTTACAAATACAAATTGTATATTACAAGTCATGTACAGTAAATCTATAATTTTTAAACAAACTAACGTATCTAAGTTTACCTGGTTTGCAAGTGTGTTACTCTCCAGTTTACGGTTGCCCTTAGGTGACAGAACTGACCATCTGAGTGATGCTCTCTTACGTAAACTGGCGTCGCATGACAAAGCCGTGTCTGTCCGGTCCCCTCCCCTCTCTATGACCACTCGTGGCTGAGTTCTGGTGTGGACTGTTCAGAACAGCTGCACGGGAATCAGGAAGCGGTGTGTTGGGGGAGGGGGTTCAGAGATGGAGAATGACGGGCCCAGTGAGTGTCTGATGTGCTAGACTGATGGCCGGGCTCATGACACAGATGTGGTGACTGCCATCACCTCTAACCTCTCTGTCATGTGCCCTGGGCAGACCTTCGGGCCCCTGTGCAGGCCAGGCTGCCCTCCTCACCCATCCTCTCGAGGGGCCAGACATACTGTCTTCTGAGGCTGGGCCTGAGTATGTGGCATACCACATGCTTGGCCACTCAGAACCTGTTCCTACCAGGTTATGGCTTCCTTGGGGGGGGGGGGGGCGTGATATCACTTGTACAAAAGTCTAATTGAGCATTTTCTCCCAACTAGTGCCTAAACTTTCCTAACCATGAGGCACTTTATCCCTGGCCCTCCGGTGCCCGTCTCAGGCTGAAGCCAGCCTGCCCTCACTGGGCTACAAGGTGGTGATGCAGATCATTTCATCTGCCAGGTCCTCTTCCTCTCTCCCAGGGTCTGGCTCCTCATCACTGTAGCCGGGACCAAAGTCCTGGAGTTCATAGTCCTGGCGGTGTGAGATGGGGCCCATGTCCCCATTGGCTCGAGGACACACACTGCCATTGAGCAGAGTGCTTGCCGCACTCTCCATCTCGTCAATGGTTAGGTCACAGGCATCGGCAATTTCATGTTTTGTTGCTGACACAAATTTTGGGTCCCTTGCGTAGCGTCCTAAGCCTTCGGATATCAGGACCTGTACAGAAAAGAGGAGACGGCGTAAGTGGAAAGGTTCACCTCAGCTCTCACTGCACGGCATGCTTGAGGGACACCATCGGCCATGTCTGCTAGGCTTTACACACGACAGTGACTGTAAATGACCTCGGCATGGTCCATGTGGAAGAGCTGAAAAGCTCCACTGAGCAAGAGAGCCCAAACCACGGAAGAAACATGGTGTGGATGGGTACGGTGGCGGGACGGACTCTTCGATGGGACGTGGCGGTGCCGGCTGGGTTTCCCCCAGGTCTTCAATGCCAACCACACCTGCTGCTGGGAAGCCACCGTCATGGCGGCGTGGCTGCAGAGCCCTGGTGTCACCGCTGCCCTCCCCCACGTGAGGGTGGCTCTCCTGTTTCAGCCAGCCATACTCACCGCTTCCACCAGGCTGTCTGCGCTCCTTTGCTTGTCACTGTTTTTGTTCCGGAAGCTGCTGGGGACGGTCAGGCTGGCTGGTGTGAAAGTCCTATAGGAGATGTCGGGCTCATCTGTGTACCAGGAACTGCGGTGCAGAGATGGCAGGCTGCCGTTGACCTGGTCCAGAGACTCTGAGCGGTCCACCTGGATCAGGGGAGTGTAGCATGGGGTCCAGTCCCGGTATGGAGGGGTGGCGGGCGGGGTGGCCCATGACCGGGTGGAGTGGCTCGGAGAGTACTTCTGGGCTTTACTGGAGTCGAGGCCTGCTACGGCCATGATCTGAGGAGGGAAGGAGTGTCAGAGGCATCAGTGTCAGGGGTCTGGGCCTTGGCCCACGCCTGGCGTGTGACGGCTGTGCAGGGCTGGCTGCCCCTCAGAAGACGGGAAAACATGCCAGAGAAGGCTCTAGGAGCTGGCCGGGGAACTGGGGCCTCCTCGCAGACAGTTTCCCTTTCCTCAAAGCCGTAAGGCATTCTCCGTGACTGAGCCGCCAGTTACTGGCGTAGCTGCCTCAGAATGAGGAAGAACTGGGAGGATTTATAAGTTGTAGTGTGTGAACACTACCTAGGTCTCTCTGGGATTCAGTACTGACACGCACTTCAGGGACATCCACGGACTCTGTCTCACACACGATGACAACCAGTTCTCTCTGCCCCGGGCCTCATCCCGCGGTGAGTGTTCTGTCTGCCCTGATTCTCAAATGTCCTCCGTGGCAGAGCCACCTTGAGATGTCTACTACTACCTGTTTGCATTGACACTGTCGCGGTAGCCAGGGAATCCAGGACAGTCCAGGCCAGTGGCTGAGACAAGACCTGGGCTTGTGCCTGGTGGATCATAGGCCCCTGAGAGGCCTCCTCCACTGTCTGAGCTGTGGCATCTGGTGATCTGAGTTCTCAAAAAAGTCATCTTTCTTCCATGATGACACAGGAAAGAAGTTAAAATTAAGTGTTAAAAGTGCAGGCAAATAGGCTCAGTGGTTAAGAACACTGATTTATCTTCCAGAGAACCTGGGCTCAATTCCCAGAACCCATGTGGTAGTTTATAACCATCTGGAACTCCAGTTTTGGGGATCTGATGTCTTCTAAACCCCAGGGACATCAGACATGCATGTGACGAGCAAGCACACATGAGGGCAAAACATTTTTTAAGTGCTGGTAGAGGTGACTAGAAAATCTTCAATGGCCACTGAGTACTGCTGGGTTCAGAGCTTGGGGTCAGAACCTCAGGGAGATCTGGGCCTGTTAACAGGCTGCCTGGGTGCAGGTTTCTGGCATCTCCCTTGATCAGTCACCCCACACAGTGTCTCTGATGAGATACTTCAAGAAACACATACACACATATGGGTGTATATGAACATATGTTTATCCATACGCGTGCACACACACATATATGTATGTATGTATGTATGTATGTATGTATGAATGTCTGTCTATCCTTAAGCCCCTGGTGCATGGCTGGAGGACATGGGCTGCCTCTGGCTCAGCTGCCCTTCCTGTGGGCTGGTGGTCCCCTTAGCCCACAGAGGAAGCCCATTCACGCTGATGACCAGAGGACCCATGCACAAGAAGCCACACCCTTGGGTGGCTTCATGGAGGAAGCACCTCTCTGAGGAAATAATTTGTAGCAGCAGCTATTATTGGAAAGCTGCACTGCCTTAACTCAGACTGTGCCAGGCCCAGTATTCTATGACAGGATGCAAGGAGCCAAGGGATGCAGTCCACCCTTTGCTGCTCGGAGAGCTCCAGGGCAATGGGTCCTGGGGGGTCTACCAGGGAGGGCTGCTCCGGGACAACCGGAGTGGAAGGTGCAGGCGCTCTGCTTCCTCCAGGGAAGAGTGCATTCCAGGTGGGACCCTGGCAGGGCTGAGGCCAGAGCAAGCATCTCACCTGCTGCTGCATCAGGTGCAGGGGCAGGGCGGCCCGGTGAGGCAGGGCAGGCGACGGAAGGATGTCTTCTTGGCTGCTTTGCCTTCGCAGACACTCGAAGTTGAAGGACGACCTCCGGTGGGCTGGGAAGGGGAAGCACAGGGCACATGGTGGTGTGAGTCCTGTCTGGACAATGTGACTCAGGAGTCAGGACCATTTCCTGAGGCATTCAGCCAGGAGCCCAGGCAGAAGCAGGCCGTGTGTCTTATCCAAGAGAAATAATTACAAACTCCCCCAACCTAGGGATGGGAGGACTAAATGAAGCATCCCAGCTGTGGGATATTTCTATAAGGTAGCAATGAATCACTTTCCAATGTTCGCCTGCTCTCAGGCAGCCCAGAGGAATCTGGGCTGAGTCACAGCCCTGGGGTGTATTAGAGATCCATTCTAGAATCTCAGGCATTCCATGCTATCCTATCCCTGACCTCTACACACCCTCCATCTTCCTGAGGTCCCCATATTTAAGCCTCTGTTTTCAGATTTAATTCTGCCGATCAGCTTAAGCAGGCAAAATAACCAATTCTTTTCTTGGAAAAACCCCCCATTCCTTAGCGGAGATGTGAGTATGTCTCAGAACTTGCCATGTGCTGGAAGCAATTGCCAAGAGGCTCATTGATGAGCCACAGCTTTCGGCTTTATAGGGCACCAGGCTTAGGGTTCTGGGGTCCTTTGGCAAAGCCAGTGCGGTCCCAGAAGCTCTTCTACTCTTGTGGACTTCAAGGGGTCCTGTCTGTTCTTTGCATTAATCCAACTGCTCTTTCTGAGCTCTCCTAGCCCAGCAAAACTCCACACAGCCCCAGGTCTCATAAGGGACATCCTTGGGGACTGGCCCAAAGAGGCCTCACAGACACCTTGGACTTCACAAAAAGCTTTGTAAACAGGTCTGCAATGAAGGTCAGGTCAAGCCCTTGGATGGGAATGACCATGGAAAGGAAGCAGCGTCAGAGGGGCACTCAGGACGAAGGGCATGCTCGGGCCTCCCAGCTCAGCGGCCACCACCTATGCAGAAAGCCTACTCCTTGCCCGCCAACCAGTGTGGCCACAGAAGATGGCCTCTCGGTCAGCACACCCTCTAGACCCAACACCTGGACAGACCAGCTGTTCAGCACTGGAAGAGAAACAACCCTTCCACACATTCAGGACCTACCTCTGAAATAAGCCCAGGTCCTCCCATCCACTGAGCTCTCCAGTCTCTGCAAGACACAGCTCTTTCATGTGCCCTTCACCCACTCCTGCTGGCTAAGGACACAGGCCAGTGTAGCCATGTTTCCCCTGCCCCAGGTCTGCCAACTGGACAGCAGAGCCAATGTCCTTTCAGATGAAGAAGGTAGCTGGCCCTGCCTGCCCACGCTGTCCTCTGCTATGGGGTCAGGCTGGGCCTGGGAACAGGGCACTCAAGTGTCTCCTAGGCTGTCGGGATGTAAGTCAAGACAATGGTCTGAAGGAGGCAGCAGGAACCGAAGGGAATGGACCTCTGCGGGGCCTCACTCACACCTGTTCCATTTGGTACTTATGGGGGAGGGAAAGGCTTCATTTAAGTAGCATGTGTTTGGGGATAATTAAATATTAAGCACTCAAATGGGTCTGACTCCACTCCCAGCAGCCGTGACAGCTGGAGTGGGACATGGCCGACCGTGTTCTTTCCTGGATGGACGGTCAAGTTCAGGAGAGCCTATGTCTCAGCTGGTTTGGTTACTAAACAGAATCTTCAATTCAGCCTCATCCCTCAGAAACACAAGTGGATATCCTTAACCATTATAAAGCTCGGCAGAATTTGGCTGCCTCTCTTGGGATTGGCAGAGACTTAGGAATAACCATGGCTACAGGAGAAAGGAAAGCCCCATTTCTTCCTGGGCCAGAGGGGGCCTGCTCCTTCTGGGGGTCAATCAGGGCCCTGTCCTGCCCTGTGAGCGGACAACAATGGCACACCTAAAGCAATGTTCGAGTGAGGGAAGGAAGGGGGAGGAGAGGAGGGTCCCCAGGATGGACCCAGGTGCTACTCAGAGGCAGGGGTTCTCAAGACAGTCCTGGGCCAGGGTGCTCTAACTCTGAATTCCTCCTTCCCATCAGAGGATCAGTTTCCCCACTTAGGAGTGGGAGAGGAGTCGGGCTGACTCTATGAGTCTTGCCCACCTCTCAGGATGGATGCAAGCTCAAAGACCATGCATGCCCTGTGCACAAAACGCCTCTTCTTAGATATGAGTGTGAGAGTTTGGGGTTACCCTCTGCCTCTCCCTTTCCTCTGAAGGAACCAGTTATGGGGATACAGACAACAGACAGGCAAGCATGGTCTACCAGGGTACTGGCTGGTCTTAAGAGTGAGCAGCAGCTCCATGGCAGCACAGATCCATCATTTATCCCATGGGTGGGACACGGGGCGGGCTTGGTACCCTCTGGGAAGCTTCACCCTGAACAAGAAAACTGGGCCTCACATGGTGGGGTGGGAGGTAGAAGGCGTCTCCTCGGAGATCTCCGTGAGTCATAGCCAGTGGGTGAGTCATCGTCTTCTAAGCAGCCTTGGGGGTGATGGTAGCCTCGGGGCCTCTCAAAGTCCATGGAGCTGCCTGGGTACCTGTTGTAATAGTTGTAGTTTTGTCTGGCCGTCGGCAAGAGAAAAACAAGAGGGTACACATAAAGTTCTGGGCGACAAGCCTTGACCCAGCTCTGACAAACCCTACCCTGCCCCCTTCCTTTTGCAGTCAGTCCTGAGTGGTGGGAGCCCCAAGGTGAAGAGCAAGGACCATCCGAGGAACCCGGGGCTTATGACAAGCCACGTGATCGTTGTTTGCGTGCCAGATACAGGCCCCAAGCCAATGGTAATCACACGGACCTTGTCAGCCTGACTACCCTTTATTTATCTCCTGGAGACCATTGTCCCAAGGACCTGCCCTCTCCAGGAACCAGGCACAGGACATGGAGCTAAGAGAATGCCATTGGCATGCAGGCCCAGTATAACATGAAACAGGGGAGGGCATGGAAGGCTCCATGGTTGGGTTCCTGTTTGAGCGGCAGTTTTAACTCCAAAATGAAGAGGCTGGCTTGTTCCTGCTGTTAAAGTAGACTGAGCTAGCAGAGATGGCCATCTAAGAGGGGGACCTGGGATGAACAAGCCCCAGAAGTGGGATCCACAGGTCCATCTGGCTCCAAATCAGTGAACATGGAAGCTGGGTGTTAGTGGGAGGTGGTGCCCCACAGATAAAGGTCAGGCTGTGTCTCAGGTGCCAGACATGGCCTTATCATAGCACCATTTCAACGTTGTGGGCCCCCCAACCTGATAAGATAGTGATGTGTAGGTCAGGGGGGATGGTGGTAGGTGATTTTGTCTTCCTGTACTAGCTGCAATGTCCCAAATCAAAGTCTCTATTTAAAAAAAAGATTTGTTTTCATTTTATTATATGAGTGTTTTGTGCACATCTATGTATGCCTTATACATGCAGTGCCCACAGAGGCCAGAAGAGGGCATCAGTTCCCCTTGGAGCTGGAGTGAGTGACAGCTGCCAGTGAGTGCTACAGACTGACCCTGAGTCCCCTGGGTCCTCTGCAAGTCCTGCTCTTCACCCCCGAGCTGTAACTCCAGTACTGCAAAGTGCCTGCGTTAGCGAGCAGCATTTTTTCTGTAGGGCAGACGTTGGGAGAGGCACCTCTGTCCTAAGCTCTTGTCCCCTGACCCCCAGGTGACTCTGTCATTGGAGCAGGAAGCAGGGGCCATTCACTGAACCCGCAGCCAAGCTGCTATGGAAGCACAGTTAAGAACTCATCTCGCAGGCCAGGCGTGGTGGTGCACACCTTTAACCCCAACACTCGAGAGGTGGAAGCGGGTGGGTCTCCGTGAGTTTGAGGACAGCCTGGTCCACACAGTGAGTTCCAGGACAGCCGGGGCTATGTAGAGAGGCCCTGTCTCGAAAATACCCGTCCCCCTATAAAAGAACTCATCGCTGAGATGACAGAGGTCTGTGAGCCGTGGCAGGTTCAGTTCTCAGAGGCCCCAAGTGAAAGAAGGCAACTCGAACTCCTGCTTTGATGTTCGGGGGAATCCGGAGCGTGGCTACCTGAGCACCGAGCAGGAGCAGAAAGACTGGGGGAGGGCTGGTCTCCTGCACTCCGCCCAGAATGACGCCCTCACCTGCTCCAAGTGGGAGAGCTGTTGTCCTCACAACACTCCTCACTACTGAAATACTCCTGCTCCCCCAAGCAGTAGGGGTCTCTAAAGTAGCCAGGTGTCTCGGGGTCTTCTCGGCAAATCGTTGGAAGCTGTTCATCTCCTGACTCAGACCTGCAGTTGGGAAAGAGATCTGAGAGCTTGCGGAGGCGGCACCCAGCTCCTCCAGTCCTCCTCAGAGCGCCTGCTTCTTCCTACACACTCCCGCCCCTAACAATGTGACTACTCAGGCTCTGGCCAAGATGCTCCGTGCCCTGCCCATGCGCCTGTGCATCTGGGGGTTTGTGCTTGTGGTCTTGGTACGGGGGCCAAACCACTGTGCCTAGGAACCTTGAGACCTAGACACAGATGTAATTTGAGTAACAGAGCAAGACAGGCCCATTCTGTGGGGATGCTGCATTCTGTAGTCAGGAGTCCCCAAGAAAAGACACGAGGTTCCCACACTCACTCCTACCCACTCCAGCCCCAGCCGGTGTGACTTCAGAACCTGGGACTGAAGCCTCTGTCTTGCTGACTGCTCCCTGTCAGATGGGGCTATTGGAGGCGTTCTGGCTTTCCCTAGAAAGTGTTCCTGGAAAATGTCTCCTGAGGTCTCCACAGGCTGCCCTGTCCCAGGTCAGCATAGCATTTCTATGCAGCCTGCCGCCTCCTGGCCTCAAGCTGTGGGAGGCCCAGTGGACTCAGCGGCACCAACCCAGAGCACCTCACTAGCTCACTCCTTGGGCCTAGGGCCTCCTGGTCTTATTGGAAGCAACTAGCCCGGAGCCCTTTCTTCTCCTGTCCCCATTAAAATAACCATTCTACTCCTAATTCAGCCCACATCAACTCACTTACATGAGACTTACCCCCGTGCGCGTGCGCACGCACATGCGCGTGCATGCGCGCGCGCACGCGCGCGCGCACACACACACACACACACACACACACACACACACACACACACACGAGGGGCATAGGAAAGTTAGCCCAAGGGATCTGGTGCCTAGTTTACAGGATGTCTGGGCTTTGCTTCTCCTAGGCCTATATGAGAATCTGGACCCCCAAAGCAACTGGACCTGCCCAGATACCCAGGGACAGAGGAAGGGGGAAGACCAGAGGGTACCAGTACTTGGAGGGCGACAGCATCTATGCCTGGACCTAAAAGTTCTTTTGCTAGAAATCAGTGGGAATTGCTCATTCATGGATGCAAGCTCTGGCATTCTGAAACGCCATTAGGTGACTTGACTAAGAGACGTCCTTCTTCTTCCTTGGCCCTGAGCAAAAGTGGTGGGTCACAGGGCAGCATGGCATTCAAAGCAAAGACAGAGGAACGAGCACCTACCGAATGTAAGTTTCATAATAGCGGGTTCTATCCAGGAAAGGCATACCATGAGAGGGAGGGAGAAGAGAAGAGTTAGACATTTCCAAAGACACTGAAGCGCAGACACCAGCCCGCCTTCTGGAGTGGGGGTGGGCAAACTACAGTGTGCTGTCCGTGTATGGGCTACTATCTGTTTTCATGTGGCCCATGAGCTCGGAAGAGAGCTCACATTTATAGAGGGCGGAAAACCAAGTAAGAAGAGAGGCCCCTCTTCCTTCCTAAGTGTACCAAACACAGCTCGTGGGAACATGACTGCACTGGCTCACTGAAGAAGGCTCTTCCTGCCTCCACCCTGCCGCGGCAAAGCTGGGTAGGTTTGGGAGACACTGAGTGGTCCTCGAACACTCACATATGGTCCCTTTACAGGAGAAATCCACCAACCCCCAGCCCCACGTGTTGTCATAACTGGGAAAAGTGGATTTTGTGGCTGCTGTTGTTTTAAGAGAACAACCCCTGCTGCAGGATGGCAGACAGTGGGTGGCCCCTTATGTGGTAGCTCCCTCACAGGGAGCTGAGTGGCACTCAAGTTCACATACAAACGTCTTCAGGGAATTACCATGTGCCAGAGCACAGCACAGAAAGACTCGCCCTGCTCTGCAGAATGGACAAGGGCAGACATTGCATCACCTTTCAAGGTTACCTTTTAATACTGGACCTTCTTTGAAGCTCTCGATCATGCTTGTAGGAGTAATGCCCATTTTCAGACACATGCTCAAGGTTCCCAATGCTGGGCCGCTTTCCGTGGGCAGCTTTGGACATATTGGCATTATTGAGATTGGCATTTGTTGAGGTGGGAACTTGCTTCCCTATGGAATTATGGTTATGATGGTTATGACACACCGAATTTCCTGCTGGAGGAAACAGCGGTTTCTCAGTATCACTTGCAGGTGGAATTGAAGGCCTTTGGACATGCAGGGGACGGTGGGTGGTATTGGTCTGCTGAAGGGAATCTCTCCTATCACTATTAACATGATTGACATGGTTTCCAAGCAGGGCACCATTTCTCTGCAAAATAATGGGAGACAACACCAGGTAATTTAACAAGTATTTGATGCAGGCTAGCTACGTTAGGTCATTTTTTTTTTTTTTCTACATGAAACACAAATTCTAGGCAAGCTCCAGAGGATCCCTGTGAAACAACCGGAGTGTCTCAGTGGTCAGGTGAACGTACTCATGTGGCAGTTGGCCCACCTGAAATGAGGAAGGTTACCAAGTCCTGAGCTGGGGACCAAGTTCTCTGCTGCCCCCTGGGTATGTTCTTCCAGTCGCTCCAAGATGAGGTGACTTAAGCCCAGCTGGCTTGGTGAGTAGCCCCAAGGTGGGGGTACTTGACATTTTCTCTGAGCTTTGAGGTTGAGGGCTGGCTGGCAGATCAAAGAACTGGGCTAGAGCAGAAGGAGGGCAGCGTGGACAGCTGCTAGAAAGACCCAGAATGTTCCTGCCCTCTGGTCAGTTGGCGGTGGCCAAGCTGAGAAGCTGACGGCTGGGGTGGGGGAAAGCTCAGGAGAGGGGGTGGTCTGGCCCGCAAGGGGTGCTGGTGAGTAGAGAGGTCCCAGGGTGGAGAGGGGCAGGTCGTGGTGGCCCCTCCAGACCCTGCCACTGGTATATAAGTTCTCCACACTCCTCTGTGGGTCAGAACCACCCCAACCAAAGTCCTGCCCCACTATCTCCATGTGGCCAATGAGGAGCTAGGCGTGGAATAATTACTTTGAATACATCGTCTTCGTCTGCTTTTGATTCTTCTGGGTCGTCATCTTGCAAGTCACAGGAGATAGCACGCCGGATTTCTGGCCCAATGTCATGCAGAGTCCTTAATCCCGCCTAGGTCAATGAAAATGGCAGAACAGGTTAGAGACCAAGGGGCCCTGATCCAGCCTGATGGAGCAACGAGAGGGAGGCCTTTTCTCCAAAGGCCACTCCAAGGAACTAATGTGACAGGAGGTCACAGTGGTACTAGGTTGGAGTGCTTAAAGCCCGGGATCAAGTAACTTCCTCTGCAAATACCCCTCCTACAGCATACTACCTGGCTACCAGTACTAGGGACTGTCACAGCCAAGAATGCATGCCCCTGACTAATTGACAGACTTCAGACAGGCTGATGCAGAGAACCACATCCGGAGCCCTGAACAGGACAAGGAATATCACCTGGTCATTAAAAAAAAATGAGGGAACAAGAATTTCATGGCTGCATGGAGGCTGAGCTGCCCAGGTGCAGGTAAGCAAGCAGCCATCCGGGCCAATGACTCACTGTAAAGCATGGAACAGGTGAGTGACATCATCCACTGCAGTCACCGGCACACTCAGGTCACAAGGAAACACATCAACAGTCACACAGGCTTAGGTTGCTGTGCAGTGGGGCCACCCAAGCCTTCAGGGTCCCCTTGGCTTATAGTTCACGCAGGCTGAGAACTCACCAGCACAGGGATCAGGATTCTGAAAGCCACACAAACGGAGGTCTTGCTACCATCTCTAGGCAGTACAAGACCCATGGGTGACAGCTCTAGGCTCTGCACTTCCCCCCAGACCCTCTCTGCTGGCCTTCTTCAGCCCAAGGGATCTGTCAGGACAGGCCTGGCCAAGCCTCTGCATTGTCCCACAGCTGTGCTGGAGAAACATTATGAAGGGCACGTGGCCTCTCGAGAGGGGGAGGGGGGTCACTAGCTCTGAGAACTTTGAATCTCAGCATTAATTTGAAGAAGGCCAAGATGCTGACTTCAGACTAAGAGGGGCTTCATCCTTTTCCACAGTTTCTCTCTGGTCTTGGGTCCTACTCCAGTGTCCAGGCACCACCAATAGCAGCCACTTGCAATCCAGGACTCTAAGCTCACAAAGCACCTAAGGCACCAGCTGGGCAAGCATCCTTCAGCAGCTTGTGCTCCGACCTTAGGGTCATTTGCAGAGGAAAGCTGTGGAGTGCTGGGTTCCTGGGTGGAGACCACTTCCCTATACTTTCTCCTCAGCACCACACAGAAAGTGAGGAGCTTTGGGAAGGACTGAGATAAAGAACGGTGTCCATGCCTGAGACACTCATGGGGAGGGAAAGGGGAGGGGAGGGGAGGGAGCAGAGTGGGACGAAGCAGGCTGGAACCCTGGTGTGAGGATACTCAAACTGGTCTTCTGCAGACATCAGTGATGACAGTGGTTAATTAAGAATGTTAAGCTGTTCAGAAATTTCTCAAGCAGCCCTTTATAAAAGCAACCACATCTACAACATCATCTAGCTCATTAGATGGTTCTGCAAAAAAAAGGGCAGATGGGCTGGCTTGGTCCAAACCCTTCTGTGACTGGAGACCAGTGGGTCCTTCTGCTTTATGAATTACAGGGACAAAACTCATGCTAGGAGTCAAAGCTTTATGAGTCCTTCCTAGGAGTGCTAGGCAAAGGAAGCTTAGTTCCCAGGGCAGGGGGACAAACACACACATTTCTAACTAAAACCCAAAGCATAAGCATGGTGCCCTAAATTTATTACACATCAAAAAACATGGTAATGAAGTATGTCTAACATACAATGCAGAGGAAGGGAAAGACAGGCGTATCCCAGCGTCCCAGAACAGTTCATGATGTGGCCACAAAAGTTACTTTCTTTTTTGCTGTCCTCAGATCACAGGCACTAATGCACATGTGCTTTTGAAAGCACTTGCGTGCTTGTGCGCGCGCGCACACACACACACATACACGCATGCACACATTCACACATGCATACTCCTTCTCTCAAGATGGCTAAGTCTAGTATATTTTCTAGGTCTGTAGCAGACCCACCTCTATTCCTCAAGAATACCATGAAGGCAACCCCAGTGTGTGTTGGTGGAGGCTCTTACCCAGCACAGGTACAGGCATGTGAAGAAAGGCCATACCCATTCATTCAGTTTTCTAGGGTGTAATTATCAAGAGACAATAAATCAGACAGTCCCCTTGTCTGATTTTGGGAGAAAGATCTGTTACATATTTGAGGTTCAAACAAGAGGAGACATGCTTGAAATACCTGCTGCTGTGTCCACAAAATAAACATGGGTTATATTCACTCTGATCAACACTCCCAGGTAAACTGTGCACATCCATGCATATTTTCAAGGCATAGAGACCGGGAACATTCCCCAGCTTAAACAACAGTCTTACTGTCATTTAACTAACTGGACTAGGTATGATTAAAAGAAATAGAAAACTATTTATTTGGATAATTTTTAACATCATCCTCTGTTGATGAGTTGACATTTCACTGAAATACACATGTAACAGTTGCATAATGAAAACAGAAACTGTCTCCAGCACATCTTCAGAGTTCACAAGATTAGGATTCGGTTGACAAGAATGGGCAGTAAACAGACACAGGACAGAGGGTTTGTTTGCAACATAAATCATGGAGAGGGTTGAGAGGTGGCTCGGGGTACCACTTCCCAAAACAAATCAGGACAACAGATTTATTAAAGAGACAGCAAAGGAGGAGAGAAGGCATCCCTCTCCCCAGGTGTGCGAGCGGAGGGTCTGGAAACCATGATCCTAGTTTGCAAAGCGTGCCAGGTTAAGAGTGGGGCTGGCTTCACTCTCCTGCGTAGGGCCTGGGGACAGGGGACCAACACATAGGTTCCCAACGAGAATTGAAATGAAGCTGAAGCACAGCACCCTGAATTTATTACATATCACAAAACATGAGAAGGAACATTGTTCTAGCACACATATCAGGCTAAAAGGTAGCTTAGGCTGTTCCAAAATCCCACAGGCACAGACTCCAGTTCCAGAAGTACAGACAACTGCCTTAAACCCTCACAGAAATTACTTAGCTGTTCACAACACGAAATTTTCTTTCTTGAAAAAAAAAAAAAACAAAACACTTTACAGTCAGTAAAATTTTCTAGTCTTTCATATTTTGTATAAGTATCTATCTCTATCAGCAAAAATATTATTTTAATTTAAAATGTGGTCATTAGCACTTAAACCCACACAAAGCCATATAAAGTCATTCCATTAACATCACAGTAGAGTTATGGTTTTGAATAAACACAGAATTGCTATAAAATATAAACATTATTGACTTGTTTTAAGATGTCCAATCTTACAAAATATTAAACAGAATCAAGCCTAGTTTCTGGTTGACTTTAAAATGCTAGCTGTTATCATAAATATTTGTTTAAAAAAGAAATGTTGGCGCTTCGCCTGTAGACTGTTCCTTTAAGTTTTAGACACCATTTATATTGGAATTTTATAGATATTTACTCTACTTAATGATTAATTCACCAAAAATAAATTCTCTCTCGCATTTCTGAAGCAACAGCATAAGATGATGTCCTGCTGTGGAGCAGGGATGCCCACTCAGGGCTGAGTGCTGTCTATCTGGATGCATCTGAAAAGCTCTGGCTGCCTCTCCCCCAGACGAGCTCCCTGTGACATGCCAGCCATCTGCCAGCTCTCATCTCCACAGCATGCACACACAACCAACCAGAAACCCACCCCAGACCTACGCTGTAGCAGTGGAGGAGAGAGAGGCAAGTCTCTAGGCGGCCCTCGGAGAGACCCTCCATCTTCTCAGTGTGGGTGCCAGGGCTCCGGACTCCTGCCAGAGAATGCTATCCCGGCACAGCCTGCTCTTCAACCCAGACATGCCTCATTCAGCCAGAGCCAGCTCTACGCAGTCACCTCGCTATTGACAAGTTCTGGTTAATTGGGGGGGGGGCAGGATTTGGCTCACACTCAATTACAGAGGACAGTTTTAGCCTAGCTCTATTAGAAGACAGGGCTGGAGATTAAATTCTGATAGAATGAACTTGCTTATCTACAGGCTGTCTTCCGCCTCTTCTGCATACATGGGCACACCCCTAATTTTATCATTGCTTTCCTCCAGGGAAAATGTCATGGTGTGGCCTTTGTATCCATTGTGAACAGTCCTTCTGCTAGATATAAAGAGTTAGAATCATGGGCACGACACCCCATTACTCATCTACAGAGAGCCCTCCTCTCCTTGAATAGTCTGAGGTAACATCAGATCACGAGTTTCTGAGGGGCATCCCTGGGCTGTAACAGTGATGTGTGCCACCACACTCAGAAAGCTGAAGGGGACATTTAAGAACTTCACCTAAGTAACCGATGATTCTTCTCTCTGCAGAGGACTCAAGGCAGCTGTCTGCTGCAGTTCCACCTCATTTTTGCTGGGGACTGAAACAGGGCCTATAAATGCTAAGCAGGCACCGCTGAGCCACACTCCCAACCCTTCCTTCCACCCTGCTCGGTGGTTTACGTTTAACATCAGAACTGGAGACATTTTTGCATGCTTCCTAAAAAATGCAGAGAGCATTATATAAAATTTAGGTTCCTTTGATTGCGTCATATCCTGTCATTGTGAGCCTACTTACTAAGGAAGGATGAGCCAGGATGATGGCAATCATTTAGCGATCGGCTAAATAACCTTCTGGAATAGTTACAGGCTAGGAATCCTGAACCCTAGCTTTGTTCTTCCCAGAATGCAAAGTCAACCAATCTGCAGGGAGACAGAGGGTGGTAACCGAGTCTCAACCACACACTCCTGTCAAGGTTGCCCTTCTTCTGACGATCTTAGGCAGCCTATCACACCACGCCCACAGCACGGGAAGGATAAACATCATCACACACACCCTCATTCTCACTTGTGCTACCCAGAGGTGGTGAGTATTCGGAACACATTTCTAATTGAGCACTCACCAATCCTAACCATTGCTCTCCCAGATCAGCACAGATAGTGAGGTTTGACCATACCACATGATCCTTGGCCTGAATTAGATGGACATGTGGGCTGCATGCGCAGAGGAGCAGAAGCATTCTAGTGATCAGTGCTGCAGCCACACAGGAACCTC